AAATCAAGAACGAGGTGCTGAAAAGGGAGGAGAACAAGTCCCTATGTGCACAAGGCCGAACCTCAGACAGAACACAGTGCACGCACTCCTCCAAGGCATGGACACGCTAGAGAGACACTGCCTCTCCAGAGCCAGCCCTCCCCTCGTTCATAACGTTTGTACATTCAATTCAGTGGGTGAAGGTTTCCTTCCCAGGGCGGGCAGCAGTTATTCAAGGGACCTTCTCATCAGGGCACTGCTGCTGCTACAGTTCTGCTCAGCAGGGACAGGTCACGCCGCTACTGTTTAGTGTCACATCTGCTGTTGAAAAGATGTTTTATGATGCCCGGGTTTGCCAAGGTGGAGATGTCCCCCAGATCTTGGTCATTTTTTGCAATCTTCCTTAATATCCGCCTGGTAATCTTTCCTGTAAGAACAGCCATGAAAGGAAAGCAGGAGTCAGGATCTCTTCAGCACCTTTAGCAGGAGTGGGGAGTGCCCAGACCTGCAGCACCCTGCTTGCCCTGAGGTTGCTCCCCCCTTGAGTGGCCCTGGATAAGCAATTTAGGACTGATTTCCTTCCACTGCCTGAAATGACGCAATCCTCCCCAGCACTGTCACTGGACCCCTTACCTGAGCGAGTTTTGGGCAGGCCAGGGGCACACTGGATGTAATCAGGCGTTGCTATCGGTCCGATTTTTTCTCTGACTGAGATAAAAAAAAAAAAAAAAAAAAAAAAAAAAAGAGAGAAAGATTTTCATTGTAGGTACTTGGGGACACCATGCACATCCTTTTCAGGCACCAAGACAAGCAGAGCCCAGCTCCTGGGGAACCCGACAGGGCAGTGCTTAGGGCTGCCGCACCTGAGGCTCCAGGCTGTGGGAGGGGGCAGCAAGACCTGCAGTGCCAATGGGGCTGCAAGCACATCTTCCCAAAGGCGAGAGCACTCTTTGTTTCATTCTATCTTCAAGGGACCTCTAGAATGGCTACACCAATCACTATTACCATTTTGATAGCGCAAGGACTGATTTGCTGTCGGGTTCCTATAGAGAAGAAACAGCCATGGGTCCATTTCCCACATGAAATGCTGCAGTCTGTGGTGGCAATGAGAGCGCTCCCTTGAGACCAGAGCACAAACACTCAGAGCACCACCCCAAAGCAACCGAACAATCCTCACAGCAAGTCAAAGCCAGCCAGGGAGGGCCATGGGAGCCGTGCCCACACAGGAAAGCGCTGCTGCAAATGAAAGCCTGCTTGGGCACCCCAGTCCTTCACGCGGCTGCCAGCTCCCAGGAGGTAGAGATGGCATCACATGAACAGCCAAAGGCCAGGAGAACTAATTTTAGTCTTCACCAGCATGCTCTCTAATCAGAGGGGGCACCTTGTCACAGCTGTCCACAGTGCATTCCCCAGACTACAGGCACCCTCGTTCAAGCACCCAAGCCCTTAACCCCTCCATCACCTGCCCAGCACCGTCCTCCCTCTCTGCCACATAACCTCCCAAATATTTGGCTGTTCCTACCTTGTTTTTTCAGCTCATCCGTCAGCTTCTTGGTGAACTCGTGGCCATCTCTCAGGGTCACAAAGCAGTAGAGGCACTCGCCTTTCAGGGGGTGTGGATGGCTGACCACTGCAGCCTCTGAGATGGCGGCGTGCTCAAGCAAGGCCGACTCCACCTCTGCGGTGCTCAGCAAGTGGCCTGGAAGGAAGGAGAGGCAGTGCTTTACAGACACACATGGCTTCAGGTCCCCCTAAATTATAGGTTTGAGAGCATTGATTTCATTTGCTTGAGACAACATCTGGAGAGAGAAACTTGCTGCCGGGGCTGGGCTGCCCCAAATGCTGCCAGGCATCACTCACCTGCCGAGCGAGGCCACCTCCCCCTGGCTGTTCTCCCTCCTACCTTTAGGCTTCTTTCTTTATCAGATCATGGCTATTTACAGCCATGGGATTAAACAAAGCACAGGCTGAGGAGGTGCCAAATTTGGTAAGAGGAGACCTGCCCACACAGACAGCTGGAAGGTGCAGAGGAGGAAGAGTTTGGATCTGCAGAGCCCAGGAACCAGCCAGGCCATGCATTGCTCCAGCTCATCGCCGTGGGGAGATTAAACGACACTCCACATCTTGGGGCAGGGGCACAACTCGTTCCTGTATGCCTCTACTCCTGTACCTGCACTCTGACATTCCAACCCTGCAACTGCTGTCACAGAAAGCCATGGGAAGGTGGTCAGCTCCCAGAACAATCAGCTGGGGGAAGATCTTGCTGGTCAGATGAAAAGATCTAATCTGATCCAGGGACAAGTACAGCAGCATCTCACAGCCAGCAGTAAGTACCTGTAGGCTACAGCCTTCAGGAAAGGAGGGAGGGAACTATTAAATGTAGTGTATGGAAAATGACAGGATGAGAAGCAGCTGAATCTGAAAGGCTCAGTAAGTAGAGGTGGGACAATCTCCACCTCTGCAGACAAAGCTCTGAGCAGCGTGATCCAGCTTCAAGGTTAGATCTACATGGAGCAGCAGGTTGGACTAGGGACCACATGGTGCTGCCCAACCTCTGAGAGTTCCTGCAGCCCTAAATCCTTCAGCACAGAGGCACCTTGGCTGGTTAGGGACCTCCTCTAAGAGGTTACAGAAGGTTTCTTCCCTCCAGTGTGTAGTCTCCAGAGGAAACGATGCAGAAAGCCACCAAGTCATAGACTCATCTGTCTCTGAAATAACCCTGACCCAGCAATTAGATCCACTTTAGGACAGGTTGCTGGGCAGAGTCACAGATGCA